ATTTTGAAATACTGAGAAGAAAATTGAAATAAGAGATGCAGAATGTGGTCGTCAGGGCAGTGATGTGAGGAGAGTAAAACAGTGTGGGCTCTACAGTAATTTAGACCTGAGTCTAGTCTCAGCCTTGTCATTTACTAGTCCTATGAATTTTAGCATTACCAAACTCTAACTCTATGAGCCTCAGGCTCTCCAGGTGAAGTGAGTTTGATAAGCCCTGTCTTGTAGGACTGGTGGCATATATGTAATGTGTGGAAAGCATCTGTCTCATACTGAGACATTAGAAAATGGCAATTATTATTATGATAATCTTGACCTCAGAGGTTACCTAGGATTTTTTTTTTTTAATTTAAGGGATGTCAGAGAATATACAGTGTTCTAGTCAAAAAAAAAAAAAAAAAAAAAAAGAAAAGAAAAAAAAACCTCCCAATCAACCAAAATTCTGCTTAGCAACGAAAACTAAGTAATATGCCCCCTCTTTACCCTTTTTACTTGTTCTTTATGAAGTAGAGAGCATCTCACCCTCTCCCATAATGATAGCTTCTCCTAGAATCTATAATTGCATGGGCAGGGGCTAGGTCTTCTTTGACTAAACATCCCAGTACAAGCACGAAGACCTCCAAGGTGCAGATGCTCAACTAGTGTTTGTGTAAAATAAAAGCCATGAACAAAGAGGTTTGATTTATTATGATTTCTATTTGCAAACATTCTTGAAAAACATAAGCAAATCCATGTATATATTTTTTGAATTTACAAAAACAAAGATCAAATGGAGTAAGGCAAATGAAGAATTGACCAACTGCTACTTTCTGTCTTTCCTTCTCTCTATCTTCTCATCCTAACTACTTTAGTGTGGAGTTCTTGCACATTTCCAAGGATATTCCTATCTGAAAGCCATGTTATCTTGCTCTGGATCACAAAAGTAATTTAAGGGTTGCCAATTTGTATTTCAAAAAGCAAAATTTTTACTCCTAAGTAAACCGTTACCCCGGAACCTGACAAACAGCTATAAATGTGTGATCTATGTCATTCATAAACTTACATTCTGAATCTAATAAACTTTCTGTTGAACACCACTTGAGAAACAGAAAAAAAAGATGTCAACGAGTTATTCATGCTTATCAGGAAAACTGGTTAACAACAAAGTGAAGAATCTGCCTCAGACCTCACTAGGGGTCAGAGTAGCGGCTGGATGTGGCCCTGGAACGTGCACTGGCCGTGGCAGGAGTGGCAGCTCTGGCTGCAGCTCTGGCTTGGGCCCTCTCTTCCTCATCTCTCAAAGCTTCTTCATAATGGGATAGAAAGGCACTGGGAACCGTATCATTGACTTTGGCAAAAACTCTAGGACTTCCATCTTGCTGGTTTCAGCATGGGCTCTTGGACCCCACAGGAATTCGTAGCATGGAGGATCACTGTCGGGCATCTGACGATACTCCAGATACTTTTCCTGCACCAAATCTTGGGTGATGAGCTTCCTGTTGTCTTAGGTGATAAAAACAATGGCCTTGTCTCCAAACTACTGGATTGGAATACATAGCCAGAGCAATAAGAGTACCAAAATGATTGAGAGGTGTAAATAAATAAATGAAAGAGACAATACTTGGTGACAGTATGATCATCTACATTTGCAAAGCTAGATAACCTTAAAAGATCTGGGGCTTTCAAAATGATCCTGGACAATCTCTTTCCTGTAGAGAGCAAATCTATCAGAACAGAAGTTACGTGAGAATCTTCATCTGGCTGAGGAAGAAAAGGAATAGATCAATGTAATTTTTTTTCCGTGACAGCCCACCACCTATCCTGGGACCCCTGCCTTGTGCCACAGCTTTCCCATCAGACATCACTCCTGGAACAAAGACCCATTTTCTGCAAGGTTTGCAGAGCAGAAACTGCTCAAGAGGTTGCAGAGATGTGGAATTTCCCAGGAAGGCTTTACTCCAAGAGACAAGAGCCAAGATGAGGTCCCCCTGTAGGAGGACTGGGGAGACCAACACCCCAGAATATAGGGAGCGGTCACAGGGACACTGGTTTTGTCTGCTCTCAAACAGAAAGGTTCTCAGACAGAGCTGTCAGGCTGAGCATACACTCACTTATTCTTCAGGCTTCTCAGGGGCATAAAAGCCTTGGTCTAAAGACAGAGTTCTCAGGTCAATAGAGAAAGGAGTATCAGTGTCTCAGAGAAATGTTGGTGATAAATCTGAATGAGGATGATAGCAGGAGCTAAGCAGAACAGTAGGATCCCACAAAGTCCCATCCCAATTGTCAGCCCTGTGAGGTCCAGAACAGTCCTGGCTGCTTGTGGCTAACACTGACTTTTAACTCAGAGTCCAGGAAAGTGAGGACTTTGTCTGAAGGCTATAGTCTCAGATAAGCTGAGAGTGGAGTCCCAGGAAAGGGTGCAGAGTCAAAGTGAAGACGCTGAATGCGGACATGGGGACCAGTCAACTCACAACTGACAGGACTATACCTAACCCCTCCTCTACTGTTAGCCCTGGGAGGCACAGGCAAGAGCTGGCAGGCTCAAGTGCCCCCTGACTTCTGCTCAAGGGGTCTCAAGGAGATGAGGGCCTTGGCTCACAGGCTGCCTCTTCAGCAGAGAGTGGAATCCCAGGCTATGACACTGTCAAGGTAAAAATCCTCTGTGAAGAATGAGGCAACCAACTACCCCTTAACAGATATGTCCTCAGACAGTCCCATTTCTGTAGTTAGCCCTGGGAAGCTGCAGGCAGAGCTTTCAGGCCAAAGTTACTCCTCATTTCCTGAGGGGGGATGGTCTCAGGGACTTAAAGTCATTGGACTAATGGGGGAGGCCCCATTTAACAAAGGAAGGGTACTTACCTCCTAACAGGAGTCAACATGATGACACTGAGTGATATCATAAGATCCCTCTCAGAAAGAAGGGCGCCACATAGAACCCCGTCCCTGTTGTCAGACCTCAGACCATGTCACCTGTGCATGGTCACATGATGAGTCATTCTGACTTCCTCCCAGAGCATTTCACGGAGGAGAGGAAACTCATTAAAGGGGGCAGCCACAAGTTAGTAGAGAGAGGACTTCCAGATTGTGCCAGGAGCCAAGGTCAGCACCCTGAAGGCTGAAAGGAACACCCACCTCATCGCAGTGGGTACAACACAGATCCCTTCCACTACTGTTATCTTTGGGAGACTATGGGCTATTGTGGCCAGATGAGGTAAACATCCCTTCTTCCTAGGCGGGTGTCAGGGAATTGGGGCCCTTTTAATGCGGGGATAAGCCTCAAGTCAAGATAAGGAATATTTACAATTTGTGCCAGGAGTCAGGGTGAGGACAGTGAAGAATGTGGGACCACATATCCCATATCAGTGGTGGCCACACAGAATCTTCCCTAGGAGGCCCCAGGCAGAGATGTCAGGGAGAGGGACTCATCATCTCCCACTCAGGACTAACATGGAAGTTAGAGCTTTGATGAGCTTTGGTCTGAGGGTGGCAGTCCCACGTCAACAGAGGGAAGAATCTTAGTCCTACCCAGGAGTCAAATTTAGGACCCTGAGTTGGGACCTTGAGTGGGACCATTCATCACAGGGCCTCAACATGCCTGCCATAGCTTTTGTCCTTGTGAGATCATGATCAGATATGGCAAGATAAAGCCACTCTATTTCCTCCTATTGGCTCACAGGGAGGTGTTGGGTCTTACTATCAGGAGATAGGCCTCAGGTCAAGAAGGAGGGGAGCCCCAGGCCCTAATAGAAGTCACAATGGGGAGCCTGAGTGAGGACTGAGGGGTCTGCCCATCCAGGAATAGAGGAGACAAAAGAGAGTCATGCTCCACCCTTTGATTATCAGCTCTAGAAAACTCCGGGCAGGCATATCAGGCGAGGCTCTCCCTCACTTGTTTATATCAGGTTTAAGGGGGGTAAAATCTTTGGTTTGAAAGTGCAACCCCCAGTTATGAGAAGGGAGGGATATGTTACATGCCAGGGACTGCAACAGGTGCTTTACATTTACTACACACATGCCACCAGTCCTAGTAGAGACGGCTTACCAAATTCACTTACAGATGAAAAGCCTGAGGCTGACTCAGAATTTGAGTGCTAAATAATGTGCCAAAGTTCACGTGGCTGGTAAGTGACAGGGATAGAATTAGATCCTTGATTAGAGTTAGTCTAAAGTCCACACTCTTCCACTCCTCTAAGCCCGAGGCCAACCTGTGTCCTTTAATTCACTTTTTTTTCTCATTACTACAAAAATGTATCCAAGCAATAAGTAGAAAGATTCTTTGGCCAAACTACTGGATTGGAATACACAGCCAGAGCAATAATAATACCAAAATAAATGTGAGGTATTAATAAAGGAGAAGAAAGAAATAATGTTTGCTGACAATAAGATCATCTACATATGTGATTTCAGATAACCTTAAAAGGTCAGGGACTCAAAAAAAAATCTGACTCAGCCACTTCTTTATAAAAAGTAAAGCTATTGGGGCCGGCCTGGTGGCGCAGCAGTTAAGTGCACACGTTCTGCTTCGGTGGCCCGGGATTCACTGGTTCGGCAAGCCATGCTGTGGTAGGTGTCCCACATATAAAGTAGAGGAAAATGGGCACGGATGTGAGCTCAGGGCCAGTCTTGCTCAGCAAAAAGAGGAGGATTGGCAGCAGATGTTAGCTCAGGGCTAGTCTTCCTTTAAAAAAAAAAAAGGAAAGCTATTAGAACAGAAGTTACATGAGACCTTAAGTTTGGCTGGGGAAGAGAAGGAATAGACCAACATGTTTTATTTGTCTTACAGTCCACCACCTGGGTCCTTTGATTTGTGCTTTGGATTTCCCATCTCGCATCACTCCTAGGACAGAGACCCATTCTCTGCAAGGTTTGGAGTAGGAAAACTGCTCAGGAGTTTTCTGGGATGTGGCATTTCTGAAGAAGCCTTTAATCAAAGTGACAAGAGCCTATATGAGATCACTCATGTATTAATACTAGGAAAAGCAACATCCC